ACCCACACTCCACACACACCACACACACTCCACACACTCCACACACACCACACACTCCACACACTCCACACACACCACACACTCCACACACACCACACACTCCACACACCACACACTCCACACACTCTCCACACACTCTCCACACACTCCACACACTCTCCACACACACACACACACACACACACACTCCACACACAAACACCACACACACACACAAACAGTGAAATCTTGTTCACACATGTTTCAAGAGATGAATATTGAATATTGAATATTGTAGATGTTGAAGACTTTCCTAAAGTGCTCAATTTGTACATTTCTGAACACTTTAACAGGGGGGAAAACTAATTTATAAATCACAATTATAATAACTTCCAAAATGACATGGGAGAACTTCTTGTAATTAAAACCTGTATCTTGTTAAATCTTCTTATAATACACACACTAAAAACAATGCGCAAAAAAGTGTGTGTCGTGAGCATGTCAAGTTAAAAGTAACAAGACCTCACACCTACAATTGAAGTACGCACACAGGTGATGGCATGAAGGAACAGTTAATGTCTGTGGGTCTGCAATGAGACTGAAAGTATATGAAAGTAGAAGATCTATAAATATTCGAACTTGAAGTACCCAAATGTATCCAAGAAAGTATGCACATTAAAGATGGCATTGCTTCATTAGGAGTGAGTGACTCGCTATACATTAACACTGGCAGATTCCAATGTGCAGGATTGTTAAACAAGAAAAGAAAATGAAGATCAGGTAGATTTATTTTGTTTATATTGTTATTAGTCTGAAAACTAAGTTTTCCACCTCAATACTTCAGGGATAGTTTTGGTAGCCAATAAATCATGGAATTTTTGGGCATTTTTTGATTTTTGCATAATTTTTTAAGTTGATAGAGAGAAAAAATAGTTATGTACAATTTTAAATGTATACACTTTGCTGCTTTAAATGCTAAAAATGCTTTACAAATTTGCTTTATATTTTTTCTGGTGCAAGTAGTAAGACGTATGAGTTTTAAAAATTTCATTAAATTTTCTCTTTTATTCTGAAGTGTCCCAGAATTACTCGTGATCTCTGTAATGCAATTTTCTTTCTCTCTTTTTCTTCTTCTTCTTCTTCTTCTTCTTCTTCTTCTTCTTTCCCTCTTCATATTTACCGATGTTGACACATGTTGGCCAAATTACTTTGGCATATATAAAATTTGGCACCTTGTCATCTTGAACAGGGTGGTTGATGTTCTTTGAAGGCGTTTTTGAGGAAAGGATCATACTTGCGGCCTCCGAGATAGTCTTAATTTTCCCCAAAAAGTCTTGCGAATTTCTTCTGTTGATCAAACATTCATTTCTTCGTGCAAAGTTCCTTGAAGTCGATTGTCAAGTTCTTTCTATTAGTTCAGAGCGTCACTGAAAGATCGCACCAGCTCCTGGGGAAATATCCTCCAGACACTCCCGCATAAACTTGGCATTGTCGAAAAGCTGAGAATTTTATATCGCAGCCGCCTGCTCACATTGTCACCACAAGCCCATGTGGAAAGCTGAGTAAAAGCGTTTTGAACGTCTTCAAGGTTCGATCCAGAGTGTGCCAGGCACTGGATGTAGTAGAAACACGAAGCAAAAGCCACGGAATTCGTAAGGAAAGGTTTAATTTTGTTTGGACAGAGGTAACTGTGACAACTTCTTCAATACTCGTTAATTCTTTCTCCAAGTAACAATCCTTGTCAATTGTGTGTCATCTCTTTTCCAGAACACTCGTCTGACAAAAACTACTGAGATAGAGGAGGCGATGTTCTGTTGCCAATTCCATCAAAATGCTCTCCCAACTTTTCTTTGACTATTTCGCCGCCTGAACAACTGAGGTCAAACTCTCATTCAAAAGTTTTGGTAAAAGTGGGAGTAGGACTAGATGTTCTTCCAACTAACACGATTTACTTGCATCAAAACCATTTCAATACAAAAAATTGAAGAATAATCTTATTATCATCATCATTATAACCATTTTTATTATTCACAATCACAAAGACTGCCCTGTGCGCAAAGTTATGAAGTGTTCCTTGTAACCAGCAATAAAAAAATGCTGATAAAAACTGAATATGAATGGGGTCGGCAAATAACATGCATTGCTAACCAGAGTTTGGTCGCAGAAGGAGCATGGTACCACCTTTTTTTAGTGAAAAAATTTGTACAGGTCGACAAGAAGTAGTAGGGCAATGGGATTTTGCTCAACTCTTAATGTTGACGAGATCATGCAGTTTGTAGATACATACCTTGAAGGTAGATCTGATTAATCCGTTTTCTTCTTGATTTGATTGACTCGTGCAGGGAGATAGTAGACTCGATAGCCGCACAGAATATTCATGCCCCCTTCAAAAGTCTGGAGTAGGCATAGCAGCAAACAGAACATAACACTTCTTTATTTTCGAAATGTTGTGTACCAAATATTAAATATCGAAACAAGAAATATAACATCGGAGATGCACATCTAAGTCTTAAATAGCAGCTGAAGGAGGAGGTGAAAAGGAAGGAGAAGGAAACGAACATTTTATTCTCTTGACTACTTTTTGATGTACTAAATTGTGTTAGCAGAATTTATAATCTACTGCCAGTATTACTGAAACTTTCAAATGCGAGTTTCACCTCAGAAAATATTAGAAACATTAGTGTTTAATCACTTTTTATTTATAATGACATTAGGAATCCAAAAATACTAAGCCCTCTTTCATTTGGCCTGTACTAGTCTTTGCAGGCATAACACTTAATTTCATTTTATGATTTAATAGTAACAGTTAAGGTTAGTGCATCTGCACGGGTTGGATATGACCTATCTTGCTCCTAATGTCACAATTGTTACTATTAATAACTTCAATCATTCTTTGTTTTTCCATCCTTCTTTTGGAGCTATACTAGGGCTAATAAAGTTAGGCATCCAAAATTCTTTATAAAAGTCGTCTCACTACTGTCACCTGCTTTCCTTTTAAGCATTCTTGAGGTGATTGTCACACTTTCACATTTGCGTTTCGGAATGGGAAAAATGCAACTGTTGCCAAGAGGTAAAGCAACCCACCTAAATAAATTCCCTTCACAATAGTAATGGTGATTTCCTAATCTCTTCTTCACTCTTTTATTTTTTCTAGAACCTATCAAAACCAACTAATGAATGGATCTATTGTAAACATTTATTTGGAAATTTGCTTATATAATTTTTCTCACTGGTTTGTAGATAATTTGCAGAGGACGTATGTTTAATACTTTATTTTAGTTATAGGAAACTTAGATATCCCTTATAACACTACTGTAACTTATGAAATCATGGTCAGTCAGCACTTTAACGCGTGCTTTGTGCAGCATTTCTTATTTGTACAGAATGCTGAGTCATTGCCAACTTTATTCATTGCCTCTCAATTTCAGTTTGAAAAACGTGAAAACATTGATGTTTTCAAACCTGAGAGTACTGTTAATATTTTGTAATGATCAGCACTGAAAATCATCAAAATGTTAAAATTGTGGAAAACATTTTATTATTATTTGGTGACAACTGCAGTCATTACACTGAAAATGACAGACAAGAAAGAGTTATTTGTGTGTGAGTGAGTGTGTGTTTGTGTTTGTTTAAAAACTTGTTATAATTGTAACTTAGACATTTTATAGTATGTTTGAGAATAAATATTTTCACCTATAATGTTATTTTATAGGATTCAAGTAAATTATCTCGAGAATCTTCACTCAATTCTCCATTCTATATTGGTCGCACTATGTATGGAGGAGCATCAGCTTATCGTCGCCCTAGGGAAGGTGCCTCTTCTGAGGTAAGTTAGTAATAGCATTCAATTACATACAGTGTAGGAGAAATTTCCTATTCACCTGGAAAATCCATGGTCCAATACTCAATTATATTCATAGACGTATTCTCAGCATCAACCACTGATTTTTCAGGCACCACTTATTTTGAACACCAATATTTTTGTAATGGGAGAATATTGAGATAATCACAAATGAATGCCATTGCATGAGGTGAGACCCAACATGAAATTGAATAAAAATCTGTGAGATTTTGTTGCACATTGCACTGATAGGTGAGACCCTGCAGACTCCCAGTAAAACAGCTGACAATTGTGAAGATGTATTTTACAATAGGAAATTATAAATAATCGCATTAATGAAAATATTGATTCTATATCCAACGTCAGGAAAAACAGAGAAATTTTCTCAGCAAACATTTCCTGTATTCAAAAAAACTTTCCTCCATCTCTCCATTTCCTGCCCATTCAAGGAATGGAGGTGTAAAAGTTCTCATTTTACAACTCTCTCACAGACATTAGCTTTAAAAAAATTGTATTTCTTATTACGATTTGCTCAAAAATTTGTTGAAGAAAGTGTGAAGAAAATTCTACCAGAGTTGCCTTTGTTATGCGAAATAAAATGTTTTATAAGTTGGTATTCATGCTTTCGTCTTTGTAAAATTCTATGGACCTATATTTTTTTATTTTATTATTTTGTAGTTTGATATAATAGATGAACAGTTTTGGGTAAAGGGCTTAATAAAGGGGTATTGGTTCTTTAGAAACTACTGATTTTATAATTATTTTTGAAGATAAAGCAGGCAGAATTGCATAAATAATTTTCTGAATTGGTGGGGTGGGGAATAATAGAGAAGTGTTAGGTATAATTATTGAATCTACTGTTGCTTTTTCTGTGATTAATTGGACTAGGTACTTAATCATATGCTACAAATTTTTAGTTGAGTAAAATTACCAGTAACCTATAAAAATTTATTCACAGAATTATTTTCATAATAAAAAATAAATCATGTGAGATATAAATGTTATTTTTTGTATATACACCTTCAGAGTTGTAAAATCTCTACTGGGGATTGTATGTTAGGTAATTATCAAAAGTGCAAAAATATATCATTAATGTACGTTGGATTGTAGTTTTGTATTGCAATGCATTTTCTAGGTGTGATTTCTGTACGTTGTTGCAATAATTGGGTGCTTAAAAACTTGTGATTGATAAATGGTTTTAATGTATTAATCCCAGTAGAAATGAAGCTTAAATGAAATAAATGATTAACATGTTTTTTGTGTATGCTGATCTTTAACAGAGCTTTTTGTCTTCAACACGCCGTGGCGGTATTACTGTTCGTCCAGCTAATGAGAAAACCCAAACAGCTTCAGCTGAAACCAGTATGAGTCAGACTGCAAGACGCATATTAGAAGCACTTGAACAGTTTTCATCTCCTGTGTCAGATGCTCGTCGAATGCCACTTCCACCTCAACCAGTTTTGGGTTCAAAGCGTAAGAGAATATTGGAGACTTCACCGACCAAATCACCTGCAGTTCCTGCTGCAATTACAAACCCACTTACCATTCCAATGCCTCCTGAACGACTGCGTTTACACAGGCTTCAAGATGTCACTGAGGCTGCGCGAAGAATTGCTAGCTCAGTGTCAAGTACTAATAAGTACACTATAAGGTAAGTGAAATAAGTTTTATCTCCTTATTGTATTATGTAGTTTTCATTCGTAATATACTGATGGTTTCATTCTTTCAAATTAATTTATTAATTTATTTATGAATTGCTACAAACTGACAGTCACAACAACAACCACCATATGTACATATGGTACAGTAATATTTTTACTGTACAGATATATGATGTCGACTGGTCGTTTCTGGTCCAATTCCTTGGTCCATATATCTAGCGACTGTAGTAAATTTGTAGATGTTGATCTTCCTGGGATGAAACCGTGTTGTTGTTTAGGGATGATATCATTTCCAAATGCATGATGTAGAATCCGTCGGACAATTACCCTTTCCATGACTTTGCACACTGTGCTTGTCAGCTTGTCTTATTGGTCTGTAGCTTTGTGGTATCTTTTTGTCTCCTTTCTTGAAAATCGGTGTGATAACAGCTTTTTTCCATTCAGAGGGCAATTTCCCTAATTCTAAGGATTGCTTGAATATTTTATTCAGTAAGGGAGCAAGTTGTAAATTACAATATTTTAGATACAAGGTTGGAATACCATCTGGTCCGGTGGATGAGTTTGCATTCAGTCCGCACATTATCTGGGCAGTTTCAATATTTGAAAATTCTGTATTTTCAATAATTCCGGTACATCTCTCTTCAACGGTCGGCAGTGGACCTTCTTGTTCAACGGAATATATCTTTCTGAAATCATTAGAAAAACATTCCGCAATTTCACTTGGGTCAGTTATTACAGTCTCTGTTCGTGATAATCATAGGAGGACCAGTTTTACAATTGGTTTGTCTTGGTATGGAAGAGGAAAATCTTTTGCCACCATCCTGAACAATTTGATCTTCGTGTTTTTGTTTACGTTGTCTCACACTTGAAGTGAGATTGTTTGAAATGTTTCTATAGATGGTGTAATTTTCATGTGTTCCGGTTCTTCTATATTTACCCCATGCACGTCGTTTAAGTCTGCTTTGTTTTATGATGTCATGATTAATCCAAGATTTGTTTAAATTTGTTTTCCTATTCTTGATGTATGGTGAGTAAGTATTTAAAAGACCTAAAGACGTTTCACAAAAACTCTCATAATTAGTTTCAACATTGTTGTTTTCAGTTTCTTCGTTAATATCTGTATTTAGTAATGCCTGGTGTTCAGTAAGAATTCATTATCGTTGTATAGTCTGCTGGGAAGAAATTGCGTTTAGAGATGGAGTTGTTAGAGACGCTATTTTTCATGGGCGATTCTGCCAGGGCCAATGAGAGATTCTGGCAAAATTCATAGATTCCGGTGAACACTTTTACTTTCTCTTCTTATGAAAGCAAAAACGAAAGTAAAAACAGAGTTACCATTGCAGTTAATAATGAAAATACTCGCCTAGCCTATCACGTTTCAACTTTCGTATATTTTACATGTTCCTGCATTTTACACTTTTTTCATCGGCCCCTGTCAAGTTAATAAAGGTTTTAATGTACATGTTTGATTCAATTTATTCAGTTAGCATAATATAAAGCAATGCTGCTTTTACAATATAAACACCATTTGCAGAGGCATAGGCCTGTGCGTGTGCCTGCATCAAACTACTTCCAATCTGATGCTTATCAGTTATCACAGTCACATTTTTCAATAAATATATTATTACAATGCTATACAATTATTACAATACAGTACAGTACAGTATTAATACTGATGGTTTTTAACAATGATGTTTTGCATTCAATGTTTTCTTTTAGAATGAAAAATTTCCATGACCACAATACTGTAAAATATGAAATAACTGATAGTAACACTGTTATTCATGTGTTGGAACCAAAGGAATGCTGTTTGCACTATGGTCATCGACCAAGCTCTCTTGCCTGAGAGTATCTCTTGCCCTTGTATTTCCTCTTTATATTCATTGTGTGCATCAAGATTTGATCAACAAATAGGCTGTAGACACAGGGTTTGCCCCTTGTTGTAACCTTATTCAGCAAATTGATAAACATGAACACTTCAATTAAATTTTAGTGCACACAAATTTAATGTTAGAGTAGAGCAATGATGGTTTCTTGTTGTATGCCTTGCCCTGTTAAGGGTCTCTTCAAACAGAGGTCTCTTGTGGGGTAGTTTTACTTTGCTTTTTGACTCCTCTCCCCCATTCAGGGATGGGGATTGGGAGTCTGGGTGTTAGGTGGGTGAGTTATTTTATTAGGGAAGGAATTTTATATAGTGGTTTTGGACGATGGGTGGGAAGGGAAAGGGAGGAAGAAGGATGTTGGAGGGGAATGGAAGGGGAGGATTATAAGGAACAGGGTGCTTGTGCTGTTGCAAAGTTTTTAGTTCTGCGTGACTGTTAGTTATGTCATTAATTTGTCTGTGGTTTGTTAGCCTGGTCATGTTTGCCCATTGGCCTAAGTTATTGGAGGAGGGAGTTGAAGGATATCCGGGGGGGGTTGTAAGTGTGTGTTGAGGGATTTCTTAGGATATGGTGGTGGGGTAGGATAAGGTCACGAAATATAGGGTGATTGATGTATTGCTGAATTTGGGATCTGGAGGAGTTGTACAGGTAGGGAGGATATGGGGTATCTTGTGGTTGGATCGGATGTCATGGTAGTGTGTGTGTAGGAGTGTGTGTGTGAGAGAGAGTGTGTGTGTGAGAGAGAGTGTGTGTGTGAGAGAGAGTGTGTGTGT